ATCTATTACAACCATTTGGAGATATTTCCAAATTCAACATCTGTCATTATATACAATCCAATTAAAAACTGTTTCCATATTGATTCCTACATTAATATACAAAATGCAATAATGGCTTAGTTGGGGGTATTTTTGGAATCTGAAAAGTACAATAAATCAGATTTTATGCTTAATTAAGTAACTTGCTGAGTTGGATCCTAGTCATGGGTTTTTACTTATACAAATTGGGTATTATTTATAGGAACAAAAAGTGAAGGGTTTTAGGTATAGCAAATTGAATTTAAAGGGTGTAAGCCAAATTTACTAAATAAAATATGTCCTCCACGCAGTTTGCTACAACCCTAAACTAATAGGGAGGGTGCGCAGAAAACAAACCTCTCTGCAACTCTTAAGGCTGCAGCTTTGTTCTCTCCATATAGAATATTGTATCCAGATTTCTATAAACAACCAGAGTCTAACCGTTATCTAATAATACAGCATTTTCTACATCTACTTTTTGGGCAGCAGGGCTGGAGGAAACCTCAAATACAAATGTGATGTTCAATTTACTGATGAAGATGCTCAAACATGATCGGCAAAGAGTCCAAATCACCCTTGAACTGAAGCAAGCTGCATCAAAATATCTTTTTTCCTTTGAGTGTGAAACTTTGCAAAGCGTACATTATTCCACATTGGGTTGTCCTGTAATTACATTATTCCACATTGCCTCCAATTGTATCACACTCGCCCATTATCAATCTCCTTTGGAGAGTGATTACAATTCTTCATGACCCGGCTAAATCCATCTAAGATCAATCTAATGCTGCAGTTGCACTCGGTCTGTTGCCCAGGGACAACTACCTGTACGTGGAGTTGATCATCCAGGAAGGTGGAGTCAAACCCTTGTTGAAATGGATTGATGAGGATTACCACTTTTATTTATTTATTCATTTATTTTATTGGTTTTCAAACTTCAAGAACCCATATTGACTTTGTATATGCTGAATCTTTTCTGATTGGATCCTCCTATCAACCTCTCTTCTTTTCTGAGATAGTCACAGAATCTGCATGAAAAGTTTTGAAATTAAAATATACATTCATTTTTTCATTATTAATATATAATCCTTTATGAAGAAAAAGAAAAATAATATGTTCTATTCTATCTATCTAAGCAGTGTTAGCGGCACCGTTACTGGTGCTTCATGTTGCTTACTCTGTTTTTTTGCTGTATAAGTTATAACCCTCATGTCAGAACCAGTTTGCCGATAATAAACTTGGCTTTGTACGCAAGCATGATTACTTTGTTGCTGCTCCCTATGGTGCTTCTCAACTTTTATCTTATTAATCTTTTCTTATACTAATCATTGTGTCAGTTTTAATCTACTTACTTTTGCTACAGAACCTAGTGCTTCTTCATCATCTCCCTCTTCCATGGTTGTTGCTGCTGCCTATGGGGGGGCTATTTTGGAAGAGGGACAACAACCTGATTTCAACCTATTCGAGGAGGAAGGTCTTTCAAAAACGGTTATCCAGTTCAGAATAAATGTATTGAATCATGAGGAGACTAAAGAGTTATCAAATTTTAGAATTTGTGCGCATTGGAACACCAATGTGGCGCTACAAGGGCTTCTCAACCGACATACTAACCTTGCACCTTTGGAAGACCATCCTATTAATGACCTACCGATCAAGATTACAATTCTGCAGGAGGCAGACCCAAAGTCTGAAGAGGCTTTTCAACAATGGGAGGTATTTATTAATTATATACCTTAATTTCTTGTAACTATAGCTCTTTATTTATTACCCAACCTGTAATTATATACCTTAATTTGTAACTATAGCTCTTTTAACTATAGCTCTTTAGTTAAAAGAAATTAAGGTATATAATTAATAAATACCTCTCGTCGTTGAAAAGCCTCTTCAGACTTTGGGTCTTCCTCCTGCAGAATTGTAATATAGCTCTTTATTTATTACCCAACCTGTAATTATATACCTTAATTTGTAACTATAGCTCTTTTAACTATAGCTCTTTAGTTAGAAGAAATTAAGGTATATAATTAATCAATACCTCCCGTCGTTGAAAAGCCTCTTCAGACTTTGGGTCTGCCTCCTGCAGAATTGTAATCTTGATCGGTAGGTCATTAATAGGATGGTCTTCCAAAGGTGCAAGGTTAGTATGTCGGTTGAGAAGCCCTTGTAGCGCCACATTCGTGTTCCAATGCGCACAAATTCTAAAATTTGATAACTCTTTAGTCTCCTCATGATTCAATACATTTATTCTGAACTGGATAACCGTTTTTGAAAGACCTTCCTGGAATAGGTGGAAATCAGGTTGTTGTCCCTCTTCCAAAATAGCCCCCCATAGGCAGCAGCAACAACCATGGAAGAGGGAGATGATGAAGCACTAGTTTCTGTAGCAAAAGTAAGTAGATTAAAACTGACACAATGATTAGTATAAGAAAAGATTAATAAGTTAAAAGTTGAGAAGCACCATAGGGAGCAGCAGCAGAGGATGCAACTTTCCTCCTAGGCAGGCCCCTATAAGGTAACCAAACAAGGGCAGTCACCGGTTGCGGCTGGCTCTATCTAGCTCTGCCTGGACTAACTAGAATCATCTTAGGCTTCCTACAGTGGTGCTATTTTCTTCGACCCAAAAATAAAAATAGTGGTGCGATTTTAAAATGAATACAAATCCACTTGAAAGTTGAAACAGAGCTCAGATATTATCATCATCAGAGTCTTTGCTTTTAATGCACTACACATGCTTTTGAGCTAAATCAAATAAATACGATTATCTTGATTGCATATAAAAAGCAGAGAAAGGAAGAGCTAAACCCTAAACCTGGAACAGTGGAAATATTTACTGGATGTGGAGCAGTGAAAGGAGGGAGAGGATTTGCTCCAGATTCTACATAAAAAGAAACATATTTAAATGCAAATAGTATAGAAGAAATATTTTTTTTAAAAGAGCAAAAAGGAGTGGGGTTAACCAGCATTCTCATTCTCAGTGTGGTTTGGGGCTGGGAGACATGAAGTAAATGAATTGCCCATTTTCTAGGGTTTAGTGACTAGGGGCTAGCTGCTAGCTATAGCAGAGCAATTTTCCACCTCTTTTGCTAGATTGTCTCCTTTATCTTTATATAAGGAAAAGAGATAGTGATGTTGGTGAGTCCCAATAAAGATATTTTCAATGACAGCTACCCCCTATAAACCTAATAAAGATATTTTGGCCCCATGACAGCTACTCTCTATATTTTATACAAATTTATAAAAAAAAACTCAATTCTAGATATGTATTTATAAAAAAACACAAATATTATTTAAACATAAAAACACACCTAAAATTAATCTCAAAATTAATTTTTTGGGTGTGTTTATAAATGGGTTTTGAGTGTGTGTAATGATAGGTTTTGAGTGTGTTTCTATATTTAAATAGTATTTAGATTTTTTTTATAATTTTAAGTTTTATTTTGAGTGTTTTAGTAAAACTCCCTATATTTTATTACTTTTTTGCTTTATATTTCTATCTCTTTGGATAAAAAAGGTGTCCCATTGAAAACCCTAGCAGCTGCTGCTTGATCATTTTCGTCAGCACATTATATATCCTAGTCATTAAGTTGTCCATTTAGTTCTTTACTCCTAATAGCGAGCTGGTTTGCTTTTTGGTTAGGAATTCACTTAAACAAATCAAACTTTTAAGTCGAATTACAACATGATATGATGCCACTGGCACTATTTGGAAGGCTCTAGAATCTCTAACCTATATGGGCACGCGGCACGCCCAACATCCAAAATGTGTGTGATTGTCATGGCGTGGAATCTTATCCTTTTGCCATCCGTATTGTACTACTGGCATCTCGCCACAGCACATATAGACAAAATGCAGATATTGCAAAGTTTCAATCACTAGGGTCATTTAAAACCCTAACCCTAGTAGCTGCTCCTGCTGCTTTTGCAAATATAGATACAAGTTTTCCCAAGTTTTCTTTATCTTCTGTGCAAAGCATGTCTTCCCTCTTTTTGGTATCATATCATGAGACTTTTTTTTTGGCAACCCTAAAAGATTAATTAGCATAAGATACAAAATGAAAACTCTTCTAGACGACCTAGGCCTAGGTTCAGCTTCTACGTTCAAAAAAGTAGGACAAATGTCGACTGATTAGAGACGCATGATGGACTAGGTACAACAACTGTTGTGCTCTAACTTGTAAGGACACGCAATATTGCATGCGCAGCATGGTCTGAATTTCCCAGTCCCCTTCTGAAATATACTTGCATGGTCTGATTTTAAGATGTTGGATGTATAAAAATCAAATTAAAAAAAATAGAAAACCTTTGTTTATTCTATTCAAGCACTTGCACTTGATTTGGTGTTGAATTTCTTAGCTTCAAACTTTATTTGGCATTCAAATTTTGCACAAATTTGGTACTCATTAAAATGAGGTATCATTTCATCTCTCTATTGAAATTTCAATCACAACAAAGTGACATAAATTTTGAAACTAAGGAATATTGATATTAATTTCAATCTTATAAGTACAGCGTAAAATAGGTATTAGAAAAGGCAATAAAATAATAATTTACCAATAGCGTAAAATGTTATTTGAACGCACTACATTAATCACATTTAACTAACTTCATTATTTGGCAATTGATGTGTCCAAGACAATGATAAGTTTTGGAGATGGTAAGCACACTTATTATGTGAGCATCCAAACAATCTTTTAGGACCAAATATGAAACACAGCACACATATTATTTCTTGGGTGCCAACCCCAAAAATCATGGAAGGATTTTGATAATTCTAGGCTAGAGATTAATAGGAGGATTATTATTATTATTATTATTTAACAAATCAAATAAATAAATAAATACCCTAATAGCGAGTTAGTTTGCTTTTTGGTTAGGAATTCACTTAAACAAGTCAAACTTTTAAGTAGTGGACTGATAATCTGACTGAGAAAAGAACCTGCAAAACTTCCTATTTGAAATTGCAGAGCAAAGCAGAGCAGAGATGGTGAAGCAAACATTGGGCAGGGCCATCCAACTGGCTGACCAAGTCGCAAAGGCTTTGGACAGGGCCGTGGTGAGATCCACGGACAAGAGCTTCATCCCCGAGCTCAAATCCAAGGCTGAACAGCTGGCGGGGCTTCTCCGCCAACTCAGCAGCATCGACCTCGGCACCTACCCGCCCCGTACGTGCGATCATCGACAGCGCCGAACAAGGCCTCGATAGGTGTATGTTCCTGCTGCTCAAGCACCACTGTCCCAAATGGATCATCATCAAGATCATCAAGAAGCGTTTCCCCACCCTCGTCCCCGTTGATTGGTTCTGTAAAACGTCGAAGCTTCTTGACGCTTTAATCAACGACATGTCTTGGCTGATCCATTTTTGGAGGAACAAGACGAACGGGAGATTTGGACTGTCTCTGCCCCTGAAAAAATAAAACGAGCCCATGCTGTGTCTCGTTTGGGAAGAGATTGCAATTCTTCATGACCCGGCTGAATCCTACCAAGCTCGATCTAGTGCTGCAACTTCACTCGGTGAGATGGCCAGGGACCTAGACGCGTACAGGAAGTTGATCATCCGGGAATGTGGAGTCGAAGCCTTGTTGAAATTGATGGAGGAGGGTCCAATGGAAGCCAAAGAGAGCGCTGCTATAGCCCTGGGGTTTGTGGGATGGTCCTCGGAACATTCCAAGGCAATAATTAATGTGTATCACGGGGAAGAGATTTTTCTGTATGACTGCTGGGAACAGATTGTTCAGCTTTCAATGTTGGCTCTGGTCTGTTACAAGAGACTAAGACTAGGTTGAATCTTCATCAATCCAGGGGCTAAGAATTGTTTCCCTTTCCTGGAAAAGGGAACAAAATTTCATTATTAACCACACCCTTGAACTCAACTCAAAATATCTTTTTCCTTTGCAATATCTTTACTATGTCTCGACTCACTTCAATTTTTCAAAGGGTTTTGATAATTAAAGTTTTTATTTACTTTTTTTTATATATAAAAAAATTGAATATATGTGTTCAGAAAAAATATATGGGTGTCCGTAGAAATACAATTACTCATTCGAAAGTTTAAAACTATTGATACAAGGAATTTTTTTAAAAAAAAGGGGAAGAAAACGTAAAACTTCTAGCCGAAGCCCAAAGAAGGAATCGGGTCGGGTATATCCCTTCTCAACCCGGTTCAGACCCGAAGCGGGATGGATAAAGCGGGCAGGCTCGAAACGGACAAATGAAACGGTTTTTGGCTTTGTTCGCGGAACCGCGGGGAAGCACAAGACAAGACGGTGGGCCGTTTGAATTGAATTGATTATCTCTCTTCCCCCTCCTCTGTCTCTCATTGGGAAACTCGGAAATCAAAAGCCCTAGAGGACTACGAACCAAATTGATCTTCAAATTGTTGAATTCAAAGTCACTAGGTGAGTCCTCAATATCAATGCTCTATGAATCGCAATGTCGCAGTTAATTGCTTGCGTATCTGATTTTTCGAATCTCTTAGCTGAAATTTTGTTATCATTACTGGCTAGTGGAGATTGTGAATTGGTAATCAGGTTGAGGACCTACCTACCCATTGAAAAACATGCATTGCCTATTTGATTTGATTTTTCTCGGTTTAAATGTGGAAAATGGATAAAAACAATTTGTAGGTGTTTTCTGAATTTTAGTTTTCTATCTGGTGTTGTTGGATTTTGAATTGGTGATATGTGTTGGCAAAAAACTCATGCATTGTTGTCTCTCATCTTTAGCTGTTGTTCAGTTTATTCCCTGCAGGAGTTTGTACCCAAGTGCGTGAGGCTGGCTCACTTGTTTCATGTTTGATGTAGCAGTAGTCATTTTGATTTGGCTATAAGATTTAGCTATAAGGAATTGCTTTCTGCTTTTTGAAACCAAACCAAATTCTCATTTGAAGCAGTAAGTTTCTAGAATCTGTTATACACATGAACTTATTTGATGACTGCAAAGACCTATATTAATTTCTTGGATGATCAAATTGACTATTTTCAGCATGAAATGCTTGCTAAATATGCATCTTTAACCCGAGCGTAGCGCAATGCGCTGTGACTTAACCCACAGAGCTTACTATTGAATGAAAAGCAAGATATCCTCTTTTTATTTTTCCTCTATTGGTCTACTATATGGAGTTTCTCCTATTATGTATACTGTTGTAGCAGATTGTGTGCTCATATTAAATTTTGAGACTTAGAGATAGTTGAGCTTATTTCAGAATCATTCACAAGTTGCGGTTGGTGTCCATATTCCTGCCTCATACCTACCAAATTGGTTGCATGTTCATACTTGTGAATGAATCCTATTTTCAATGTGAGTATATATATATATATATATATATATATATATATATGGCTGCTCCACTTACGTAGAAATTCATTATTGTAGGTAGGATTTGGCTTGAAAACATTGGATTTTCCTTTCTTACCACATTTTGGTTCTGGAAAATCTGCAGTTGTGCTGCCTGGAGGAAAGTCTATGTCAGCTAGTGCTTGTACAATGACCCAAACAAGAGCTTCAGCTTATGTAAGATTCCTGATGGTGCTTGTCTTACTAACATTTGCAGTATTGAATAGTTGGACCATGGACCATGATAGTTGAAATGATTTGTGATTAGTTATAGCCTTTCTGATATCACACAAAAAGATCCTGAATCCTGATTGGTGAATAAATATTTTGCAGATCCTGAATCCTGATTGGTGAATAAATATTTTGCAGATCTTGTTTTTACTCTTCAATCATGGCTCTATAGAACTCTTCCTTTACCTTTTTCACTCTATTGAATTTTAATTCTGTAGATAATGTAATTAACATAGACTGGCTCCAACCTCTATACGTTGTAACACCCCCCGGCAGCCATCCATTTGGGTGTACTTCCAGGAGCCACCGTTAGAAGGATGTAAATGGAACTTAGACTGCTGCATTCTGATTTTGGAGCATTCATAATGGAAACTCCCTTTCATAATCTGTTATTAACTGATGGAATCAGGTGAACATAATTAAAATAGAAGCAGTTTTGGGTGGGGTGTTTGAAATTTTCTCCCATGATGGCTATAACAACCCTGTTTGTTTAGCATAATAATCAAATTTAGAAATGCTAAAACCAGCATACTAGTTTGAATTTGCTTTGAGAAGATAATTGCTTATTCAAATATCAAAACTTATGATACAAAACTTTCTGGTCTTGACACTGACCAAATGTTTTAACAACAATAACAAATTGGGCTCTTGGGTGGGAAAACAAACAAATTCAACGAAGAAGATATTCATTTGACTGAGAAAGTTGTAAATTACATAGTATGTACACTCCATGACAACGATAAAACATAAACAAAAGAATGACATCTTTTCTCTTTTCAAGGAACAGGAAACCGCTCTGCCTTCTGATAAAATCAATGGCATTGGTATTTTGAGCCCTTGGACTGATAAAGATCCAACCTACTCTTAGCATCTTGTAACAATGTTTCCAGTGCTTCGTCGTGGGTCATATAGGATTGCTTGGATGCCCATTCAAGCACGGTGAGCACCTCAGCCTGGGCAAGTTCTTCACTGTCTGGTACATGAAATGCAATGTAGCACATGAGAACTAAGGCAGGAATCTGAACAATTTGCTCCCCAAAATACACAAGCTGGATCAAGTGCTTAGCACCTCCTGCACTTATTATTGCCTTGGAATGGTCAAGATGGAGATAGTTCTCTGTACATGCAAATTTTGTGAGGGCAATGGTAGCCTCCCTGGTAACCTCAGCTTCTCTTTCGTCAAGAAGCCGCACCAATGGGCCAATCATCCTTGTCTCAGTTGCCCGAAATGTCCTTGCCAAATTCCCAACAGCTTTGATGCATGGAATCAGGAGGTCTAAATCTGCATCAGCCTTTTCAATAATCTTTTGTAATTGATCAACCACAGACTTGCAAGCCGGAGAATTAGGCTTGAAGGCAGATCTTCTCAACTCAGCATCCTTCTCTGCCACTGCCGTGATCTCCATTAATGCCATGGCAGAATTGAGTTGAACATCTTCAGAGCCCTTTTCCAGGAGCACTGCAAAACACAACAGTGCCCTTGATTCCGTGATGCTACGGCAAATGGGCGAGTTCCCTTTGGCAAGCTGCCAAAGAGCTCTTGCTGCCATTGCTTTCATGTTGGCCTTGGTGGCAGGGTCTTCCAATTCCCTCCCCTTAATGCTAGTCCCTGAATGATTATGCTGATGATGGTGAGTGGATTGTTGGTACTGATGATTCTGCTTTGCATTGCTGTTGCTGTTGCCATTGCTTTTGGCTTGATTGGATTGATTGGCTTGATTGGCTTGATTCACTCCGTTAACTACTTGTTGGAGAGGAGGCTTCAACCCGCCCTGCATTGCCATGGTGCTAGTAACCACATTGTGCATCTGACTCGAGATTCGATTGCCCAACGGATGAGGAATGTGACGGTAACCCTGCTTCTCATCCTCGTCACTCGCCCTGTTCGGAATATAATTTGCATTGGAGTTGTTTGTAGCCACCACAACCGCATGGATAGATGTGGCTTTGTTGAAAGTAATAGCATACTTACTATGCTCCTGAACAGTTTCGAACGCAAGATGGCTAACCAGCAACCGGATGATATTGTGCTGCGCAAAAAGATCCTGGCATTTGGGGTAATGAGATGCAAGCTCCGAGATGGCACGGGCCACCATGGCCTGAACTCTCATCGGACCTTCTTTCAGGATCTTCGCAAACACCGAACACACCCCGGCATGGATCATGTGTTCTACGCTTTCCGGGTCACGTCCCAGCAATCCAAGGGCCTCAGCAGCATACTCTTGGCCTTCCATTTTACCCTCTTTGATTAATTTCAACAAGGGTCCAACTCCACCTTCCTCAATTATCAACTTTCCGTATCGATCATTGTCCTTGGCAAGCGAAACAAGCGAAGCTGCTGCATCAGATCGATCGTCAACTGACCCAGTGTGCAGAATTGCAATCTGCTCCCAAATGAGGCACAGAATTGGCTCGTTTGCGGCGATCGGGGGCAGGCCAAGGGACCCATCTTCCCCGGGAAACGGCCGGGCCGCTACCCC